CCTGCTAAACTCTATCCAGCCTTTTGGACATGCAATTGGGCTCCCTCTTAAATATCCTTTCCTGAGCCCTAGATACGTGTATTTTTCATTGCCTGAGGACCTTAGGAGCCTGTATCTTGGGTTACACAATAAGCTGGTGTCGTGGTTTAGCCCCAGCCAGCAACTAAGCACCACGCAGCCGCTCGCTCACTCCCCCTACCCCGATGGGATGGGGGAGAGATTCGGAGGAGTAAGAGTGAGAAACACTCCTGGGGTGAGATAAGAACAGTTTAATAATTGAAATAAAGTAAAATAGTAATGCTAATAGTAACAGTATAATAATGATAATAATAATAATGATACACGAAGCAAGTGATGCACAATGCAATTGCTCACCACCCGCCGACCGATACCCAGCCAGTTCCCAAGCAGCGATCGCTGCCCCCTGGCCAACCCCCCCCCCCAGTTTATATACTGAGCATGACGTCATATGGTATGGAATAGCCCTTTGGTCAGTTTGGATCAACTATTCTGGCTGTGCCCCCTCCCAGTTTCTTGTGCGCCTGGCAGAGCATGGGAAGCTGAAAAAGTCCTTGACTAGCATAAGCAGTACTGAGCAACAACTAAAAACATCAGCATGTTATCAACATTCTTCTCCTACTAAATCCAAAACACAGCACTATGCCTGCTGCTAGGAAGAAAATTAACTCTATCCCAGCCGAAACCAGGACAGCTGGTCACGAACTTTGGGACTGTTCCTGTGCAGGCAGGCTGAGAAATGTCTAGAACTTGGATGTCCTCCTGGGAAAAAGCTCAAATTATTTGGCCATTGTGCAAATATATGCTTCCACTGCTATCCTCAGCAAATGGTCTAGCAGCATGCCTCGAGAGATGGAGGTACCCACAGGGATTACTTGTGTTCCCTAACTCCGTTCACTCGTGTTAGACACTGGACAGAAGTTGACATGTGAATTTCCCTCTTAAAATGCTTCTTTCCTCCAGTGACTGTACATACTGAACAGCCCTGAGCAGGCGGTCCTTTTGTTTTCTTCTCACCCTGTTTGACATGTGCAAGTGCTGAACTGCCTTAAGGAGGCACCTAAGTTCCCTCTCTAACTGACCTAGGTACTTCACTTCCCTCTGAATTGCCCTGAGACTCATCCCCTCTCTCCATTAAAGGAGTGATTTTTTTGGATTGGGTCAATCTACAGTGGTTCAGATAACACAACCGTTCGTTCTTGTGTTCACTTGTGTTTTCTGTTTCCTGCCCACAGGAAGGCAGTCAAGGCAACGTTAGTTCTTCTGCCTCTGCTAGGCATCACCTATATGCTTTTCTTTGTCAACCCTGGTGAAGATGACATTTCCCAGATTGTCTTCATCTATTTCAATTCCTTTCTGCAGTCTTTTCAGGTAAGAGAGCAAGTTTACAGCTGGTATCAACTACTGCTGAAAGGATCCTCAGTGCTTTTCAGCAATGAAACTTATGGCAATGAAGTCCATGATAGAAATATTAGTTGAAAATAGCTCAGCTTTGTCCATGCTTACCTAATAGATATATAAGCATGTCATTTGGAGTGAAGATCTCCTCTCAGGTGTGTACTGGAGGAATTCCTCTCTCTTGACATCAGCACTATGTTCAGTCTGTAGCTACAGCTCCTCACCTGGTCTCCATCTAAAGTCAATGGAGAGAGAGAGATGATGTTTCATTCTACCCTAAACTGCCTGAGAGAAGGTGATGAATCACCCTCCCAAGGTACCTCTCTCTTCACAGAGCACACAGTGAGCTGAGACTTAGACTAGATGTTGCTAAAACAAAGGGAAACAACAGCTACCTGTTGGGCTTCCTTGATTAAGACGTTAGCTATATTGCCCAGCCTCTCACTCCAGCTCTCCTGCTGATGTGCTCAGCCATCAGACCCTACCAACTGAGAACTCATACGCTATCTCCTCCCTCCCCTGAATTTAATAGGAGTTCTGCCAGGATGTAAAAGGCAATGGAACGTGAGTAATTGCCCCAGCTTTCTGGATTTGGCATAAAACCAAAAGTGACTGAAGACTTTGAATGGTGTTTAGGCACACATTTCTGCTTAGATGTGTCCTACAGCTTTACCTCTGCTTAAAGACCTTCTTGAACTAGGGTGGAACCATGTTTGACATTTATATTTTACCTCTGATATCTGCAGGAACCAGCACTCTGATACCCAGGATGTCAATACAAATACACAGCACACACGCTGTCAAGCCAAATCTAGGGTTATGGATTACAAAAGTTTTAAGCTTTGGATTACTGTTTGTACTGATTGCATGTTTGGCTTTGAAACACAGAGCATCCCACCAGAAATCACAACCAAATATCCAACATGAAAAACATCCCTTTTAATCTATGAATAAAGGAATTTTAGCCTTTACCAGTGAACCGATCCATATTTTTCATTCCCTAAAATTAATTGTATTTTTTAGCTGCTGATGCTCAATGTCTCAAAAAATGCTACACTGCTTATTTCATTGTTAGTATTATGAAGACGTATGTAAGAAAGAAAACACAGGGAATCTCTCCTTTATGGTGACAATAATTACAGTCCATTGCTGAAAGCAAAATGGGTAGGATTCCGCTCACAGGTTTAGAGATGAAAGCGTCATCATGTTGTCATCTGTGCTTCCATTATAGTCATTACAATCTTCGCAGTCATTACAGGGGTCTAGTTGCTGCTGTCAATAGATTCCACAGAGCAATTCAGTTCAGGTGAAGGTAAGCAACCTGATGATACACTTGCCCAAACAAGACCATCTAAGGCCATTGGACACCCCCCTGTAAGTGTCTGAGACATCCGCATAGAGCATGACATAGAACCTGTGAGGGGTCTGTGCCATTTTGGGGAGACAGCTGGAAGCTGTAGATGTGCTTTAGCACACCTGAAGTGGCAATCCCCTTTATCAGTGGAAGAGCTGAATAGATTCTAGCTCTCGTGTCTCACTTGTGAGCTGCAAGACACTTAGTATTTTCTCATGAAGTTGTAGCATAAAGATTTCTTCTGTCTGGAAACGGGTGATCTCAACAAGATTATGTTTTTGCTCGGGATGATCCCAGAATAAAGCTCAGTCCCCGATTCTCTGTGTTAAAATACTTACCTAACAATTGACTGCTTTCTGTTCTTTCCAGGGTTTCTTTGTGTCAGTATTTTACTGCTTCTTGAATGGTGAGGTAAGTAGTGTCCCCTGCTGTCAGCGTCATTAATTCTCGGGAGGTGGAACCTACTTGAATGCCTGATTATAGGGACATGAGGAGTTTGTACATGGGGTCATAGTCCCATCAGTCTGTTGCTCTTGCACAAGTTTCTCTTAATGTGCATCTGAATTTCCCAACCCTCTTTGCAGGTTTCCTTTGTTCACAAAGCTTTATCAAATTCAGATTATTACCTGGCAAGTCAGGGCAGAGGAAAAGAAGTCTTCTCAGATTATAAAATGATTGTTCTTCATTTTAAGACCTCTTTGAATTTTCTCATTAATTGCAAATATGATTTCTGGGCATACATGAGCGTTACTTCTGATCTGGGCTCTTGTTAAGGATATGCCACAGGAGACCCATTTATATGGTGGCATTGCCATGCTGAGTTGAGTTAGTTTTTCTGTGTCGATATGTACCTCTGAGTGGTCAATACCTGTTGCATTCAGAAAAGAGGGTTGGGAACAGGGCTGGTGGTTTTCCTCAGAATTAATTTAAGGTACTGCTACTCAAGCAAGAAATGTTTCACTAATATCCCTCAGTGTTTGACGTACACCCCAAAGTGTGAGAGATTTGTATCTTTTCCCCCGCTTACACTGCTAGTGTCTCATTTACCTGCACTTAAGCGTGTCATCTTTGTCCAGTTAAAATTTGGGTCTCTGCAGAAATTAATTCAATGTCTTAATTA